CTTTACCCATGACTTCAGGTAGAAAATGCAGTGATAGGGTTAGAAGATGCAATGATGAATCCAGTGCCGAGTAAAGTCTTAATTGTTCAGGGAGCTGCAAATTGGAAAAAAGCTTGTCAGAGCTGTGTTAGCACTGGCAAGTAATCAGCACTCAAAAAGTAGCACGAGTCTGCAAAACCCTCTAAAGATGAGTAGCCACAGCTCATCCATTTCTGAGACAACCACACCCTTTACAGTGATGGCAAGTCTGCAGCTCTGCTTGCTCCTAACTCCTTCTGTTTACTGTCTGTTTAATGAGACTGGGATAACAACTATGTATCAAAACTTATTCATGTTTTTACAACACAATTGCAAATCACCAGCTCTAGATGATAGATACTTTAAAATTCTGAATGAATGTAAGTATTTAATAGGAATGCACCTAATACAAATATCCAGTCTGTCATAAAGCAGTTAAAAGCCTGCTACAGTGATAAAAGGCAGCTAAAGGCAAACACTACAATTTGGAGAAGCTCTAGAATTGTTATCAGTCAGTGTTTTTTATCTGCAAGTAAGTAAGTTTTATCTGGAAATGTTTGTTAAAATAGTATTGTTGGAAAAACAGAACACAGTAAAAGGCAGTATTTTTTATAAAAGCATTACATTATAAAATTCAATAGGTCAGCAAAGTAGAGGCTAGAGAAGAACTGCTAGAGAAGAATTGGTAGAGATGATGTATTTAAACTTTCACAACCTATTTGAGCAAAATCCTTTCAAGTATCTGAAATAATTCTTGGTCAGAAACAGCATTTTTATGGATCAAAATGGGTTAAGATTCAGGAAGCACTTGAAGTACGTGGTCAAGATCCATCACAGTTAATAGCAAGATGGCTCAAGGCTCCCTGTGGTTTGGTGTTTGCAATGCCTTATCTGTATCAACTCGAAGGAAGAGACAGGACATCGGGATGACCAGCTAAGCTAAAATTTATGACAGTATGGCTCAAAAAAGAGTAAATTATTAGGATGCCTTACGAATGGGATGGAGAATAAAATGGAGATTATGTGCCACCACACAAATCAATGATATGGCTTCTTCCGCAATCTTATGGGAAGAACCAGTTACTGCACCTCCAAAGCCCACTGCAGAAATAGAAGGAGGCTAAAGAAGTTCATTAGAAGGTTGAAGGACATGGAAAAATTATCATGTGAAGAGACACTGAGGAAGGTAACACACAAGTAAATAGATGTGATAAAATTGTGTAAAATAATGATTGGTATGGAGAGGTAGGTAGAAACTCTTTTATAACACAAGAGCAGAAAGATATCCAATTAAAATGAAAGATGACAAATTCAAAATTGATAAAGAGTTTTCCACCCAACTTGCAGTTATCTTATGAACTTGCTGAGGCCAAGAATTTTTCAGGAGTCAAAACAGGAAGGGATATGTACATGGAGGATAATAATATTTGCTTTTACAATAATACTAATAACATTTGGAAGGGATGTAAAACCTCATGGTTGAAGGTCTACACAAATGTCTAACTAAAAAGATTAGTCTGACGCCATCAGAGGCAACAATAACGCCATCGTGGTACTTGTGCGTACAGTGAGACTTGTGGAGCCTTTCTCTGGGACATCGGTGTTACCCGCTGTTGGAAGTTGGAATACGTGAACCTTGAACGTGATACTGCACTTCTCATACAGCGAGGGATGTGTGAATAAAAGAAGGGAGCTGACATTTGGATCAGAGCACAGGGAGTGGTCAGTGAGATCTGTGCATATAAAGCAGGGGTCACATGTAGTCAGCAAGGAGTTTTCAGGGGAGATGGTGGGAGAGGAGTCGTTTTCAGAGAGTGCAAATTTTTCTTTGTACTTAAATTGGCTTTTCTCCTTTACTTCGTAACACGACTTTTACAGGACTGCTGCTATATGGATTCTTTTATACCACCCTTTATCAAAGAAAAGAAAATCCTCTTTAAGGAGAACTGAGAAAAGGAAAAGATTTTCTAGAGTCTGCTGCTGTTGAAGGGGCCTGGGCAGAGCTGTTTTATCCCACTGAGCTGCCATGCCATAAGGAAATAAATAATTCTGTAGTTAATTCCATACTGAGACGATACAAAGTAGACGTGCCACCATGTGTAGAAGGATAAAGCCCTTGCACGGACATCACTCCTGGGGCTTGAAAGAAGCCCCAGAGGAAAAATATTTACAAAGGCCATCAAACTCCATCTTGTAACGCACCTGCGCAGGCACTTTTGAGAACACAAGAACCGTAATGCCGGAGTTTTCCTGCTGCCGGGGGCTTAATTTGCAAGCTTGGCTTTCACACAGCGCTTTAATGAAACGTCTAAGGGAGAAACGCGAGGCGACAGCGACCCCGGCCAGCCCCCGGCGGCGGTCCCAGCACGGAGCACCGGGAAGGCAAAGGAAAAGAGAGGAAAGGAAGGGAATGGCGGGCGGGGCTGGGACCGGCGCCGCCCCGCAGCGCTGAGGCGAAGCGGCCG